CAATCACATACAAATCATTGTTCCACTAATAGACTTATTGTTTCAGAAGTGTGAAATTGCTAGAATAGAAGACGGCAACACAGAACTTAGGGCTGAACACCTTGCAACCTCAATATTTGTGAAATTAGGAAAAAAGTAAGAATCACAGAAAATGTTTTAAATGAGCCACTGTCGAAAGAAACAAAATGTCGAAATGAACTTCAAGTAGAAACAATTTCTAATTTAATAAGAATTAGAGATTATCTTAATTCTAGAGGACAATGCTATCATAACACAACATTGATAAAAAGCTCAGGCACAGTTGAAACTACGAGTTATTATTTACTGGATTAGTAATTTTATGGAACTTACTGGCAACTTTGTAAATTTAAAATGTAAATCTTAATATTTTAATAGGCTTGTCCGAGGATGCTAATGAGTTTAGCGAAACGTTGGGCAACAATAGTGGAATAGCTTTGTTTTATTTGCACTAAAGAATGCAAGATCGGACAAACCTATTAAAATATTAAAATTTAAAAAACATAAATACGAACCGATCGAAACCCAAAAATAGATATAAAATGTAAATCTTTATGTTTATATACATTTATTTTCTTACATAGTACATGCATATAAAATCATAATATCTGAGGTAAATAAAATAAGGGAAATATAGTTACAAAGCGGTTCCAGTTGTTTTTTTAGCAACTATTTTACAAGTTCTACACAATAACTTTATACATATTAGAAAAATAACAGTATCAAAATTTGGTACAATTTAGTGATAAAAAGTACAATTTGAATTACATTTTCATACGAAATTGCCAAATGCTATTATCAACACTGGAGTGCAATGGCGTATAGCCGTTCTTCTTATGCAGTTACAGTTGCACGGCTATACTCAATCCCGACTCTTCCGTCCCCGTTCGCGCACTCTGGGCAACGTGAGCAACCCATTTGCGAGATGCGGTAACCAACCCGAGTGGGCCCGAAAAAGAGGGAGCTTCGGTGGGGCCACTCCGACTTATTCAGTTTAAGGGCTCCCGAAATCTGCAGCGTCTGTTCATCAGTGGGTGCGGCTACAAGCGGGCGTCTGTCTTGCAGCAATAGGTTCGTTATATAATCCGGTGTATCCGGTTGAATAGCCACTCATCCCAGTAATGGTTGTGCGCTGGCCTTGGGACCCGCCACGTAAAAATGCCTACCAATGAAAGGAACAAAATGGCCTCGGATGGCCGCCCCCCACACGTTGACGACCCTCGCTCACGAAATAAGAACTATGATTTGCGGATATGTACTTGGAATGTCTGGATCCTTTATAGGGAAGGTGCCCCTATCCAACTGCTAGATGTCTTCGAAAAATATAAGGCTGACATCACTGCAATCCAGGAAATGCGATGGACGGGACACGGCTGCATCAAATATGCAACGTGTGACATCTACTACAGCTACCATGAGACGGCGCTCAAATTTGGTGTGGGATTTGTTGTTGGGCCGAGACTAAGACACCCCGTCTCCAGGTTTACTCCCATCAGTGAACGAATCGCCACGATCCGCATCAAAGCCCAATTTAACAACGTATATAACGGATATAAATGAGCAATGGGAGTCCATCTCCCAATCGCCTTGTGCCGCTGCGGAAGAGGTAGTGGGATACTACCGCCCGCGCAGGAACAACTGGTATGACGAAGAGCGCCGCGCGGCTGCTGCAGAGAAATACGCAGCATACAAAGCCACCCTACAGCCAATAGCCATGCGAGCGATAGTTGAACGATACCGGGAAAGGAGGAGGGAGGAGATACACCTATTCAAAAGAATGAAACGTGAGGCAGAAAAACGTGAATGCGAAGAGCTTGAGATGCTGGCAGACAAGAATGCGGCTCGAAAATTCTATCAGAAAATAAGGCAGCAATCAAATGGTTTCAAGACCGGGACTGGTTCCTGTAGAGATGAGGATGGAAATTTGGTAACAGATGTCCAGAGTACACTTGAGATATGGAGGGAACACTTCTCAACTCTTCTGAATGGCAACACAGGTGGCGCGTTTGAAGAAGAAGAGCCCGAACCAATTTATATGGACGAAACTCACGGCCCTCCACTTGACCAAGACGAGGTGAGAACAGCAATAGGCGGCTTTTAAAGAACAAGGCCGCCGGAGCCGACGGTATTCCCTCAGAGCTGTTCAAATCCGGCGGCGAAGAACTGCTCCGGCGCATATACCAGCTATTAAGCAGAATTTGGTCTGATGAATACATGCCCGAAGATTGGAATCTCAGTGTACTTTGCCCAATCCACAAGAAGAGAGATCCCGCCGTTTGCGCCAATTATCGTGGAATAAGCCTTCTTAATATTGCATACAAGGTCCTGTCGACTATACTGGGTGAAAGACTGAAGCCCTTTACGAACGAACTGATTGTGCCTCATCATTGTGGCTTCAGACCTGACCAGATTTTCACAGTGCCTGAAATTCTGGAAAAGACACTCGATATGGAAATCGACACACACCATCTTTTTATTGACTTGAAAGCTGCTTTTGATAACACGAAGAGAAACTGCCTGTACAATGCCATGTCTAAATTTGGGATCTCCGCAAAAACGCAACGAGGTTTTAGACAAGGCGATTCACTACCATACAATTTTTTCAATCTGATGCTGGAAATCGTTATAAGAGCTGCCAATATGAATAGCAGCGGCACCATATACAGCAAAAGCACGATGCTGCTGGCGTATGCAGATAATATTGACATCGTTGGCTTTACACTCAGGGATGTCAGCGCAGCATTTGGCAACTTAGAAAAAGAAGCTAACGAGGATGTTCTGACGGTGAACGAGGACCAAGACAAAGCACCTCCTGGCAACACATAAAAAGTCTTCGCATATTGGGACACACGTCACTGTTGGCAGTCATAACTTAGAAGTAGTGAAGGACTTTGTTTACATAAGATCCAGCATAAACACCACCAATAATGTCAGTCTGGAGATAAAGCGAAGAATAGCCCTTGCCAACATGTGCTACTTTGGGCTCGGTAGGCAATTGAAAAGCAGAGCCCTCTCTCGACGAACAAAAATCACGCTTTACAAACCTCTCGTCATGCCCGTCCTCTTATATGGCGAAGAAACATGGACGATGTCTAACAAACTTGAGAAGGCTTTTGGGGGCTTTCGAGAAAACTATTCTTCGCAAGATCTATGGCCCCGTTCGCGTGGGCGACGAGTACCGAAGAAGATAGAATAACGAGCTGTACGAGCTTTTTAACGACATGGACATAGTTAAGCGTATAAAAATAATACGATTGCGCTGGCTTGGACATGTTGTACGCATGGATAACGACGCTTCGGGGAAAAGATCCTTCGACTCCGCACCCATGGGTGGACAACGAAGGCAAGGTCGCCCACGAACACAATGGAAGGACCAAGTGCAGAAGGACCTGACCGCACTTAAGATGAACAACTGGCGCAAATCTGCAAAGGAGAGAGGCAACTGGCGAAGTTTTTGTTCTCGGTACAAACCGACAAACGGTTGTAGTGCCAAATAAGAAGAAGAAGAATCATCAACACTGTTAAGTAGATGATACTGAATGGGTGATATTCAATAACAATCATTTTAACTAATTGTTGATCAGTTTCGAACTTTTTTTTATTCAACAGTAGTAGGCCGCGTCACAGAAGTGGCGGTACGTGGCGCAAAAGATTCAAGTGGCGGTGCAGAAGTAGCTGGTGGCGGTATAGAAGTGGCAGTATGCGGCGTTGAAAGTTCAAGTGATGATGTAGAATTTGCAGGTGGCGAAGTGTTGCAGGATACACGTGTAGTTGTTGCAGCAGATTGCGACTCATTGTTATTATTATCCGATTCCTCGGCTGGATGTCTTAATATTATCTGTGATATTTTTTGAAACCGGATGATGAATTGTCAAGCTGTTCATAGATATAAGTCGCACGTGGTCGCTGTGGTGTAGTGGTAAACAGTGCGCGCTTTCACTCCGCAGCGCCTGGGTTCAAGCCCTGGTCAAAGCAACATCGCAAAAAAATTTAGAAAAAAGGTTTTTTTTTAACAGCGCTGGCACCTCGGCAGGCAATGGCAAACCTCCGTGTGTATTTCTGCCATGAAAAACAGCTTCTCATTAAAATACAATCGCCGTTCGGAGTCGGCGTAAAACTGTAGGTCCCTCTTCTTAGTGTGACAACAGCAAGGCGCACGCCATAAATCGGAGAAGAAGCTTAGCCAAACACTAACATATGTGTAAGCGCTAATCAATTATTAATTAAATTATTATTTCATAAAGTGCACGCAATGTTTTCATCGAAAGAGGTCAAAATCCAATGCATACTATAATATCTTTTCAAACACAATATTTGACTGCACTATTTTTATATATTTATTGGTTTCCCTTTACACATTCATTTGTGTTTGAATCGCTATTTTTTTTAAATAAGTGGTACTCATTAGCATCTGAATCCATAATAGCCTTCGTTCCCCTATTTGCAAGGAAAAACAATGTTGTCACCATTAGGCTATTTCAATAAAAAAGCTTTACGGATATCTTGAAATTCGTTTTTGGTTTTTATGGCATTTTAACAATTATATTCAAAAATTTTATTGAGCTTGAGGCCCTTTCTAATGAAAAAATGTTGTGGAAAAACAACAAGAATTTACCTTTAGGTAGAAGTTATAGCTACTATTTCGGAGATCACCACATTTCCTCATTGGACTTCTTCACCGCGGCCACTGAGATATGAACCATTAGAAACGGCCTCAAGCTCAATAAAAATTGTTAAAATCTTAAATACTTTTTACCATCACTATATTAAACTAAATGATTGCAAATTTTTATGCATATTTCCCTCGGACAGGGGGGGTTAAACGCCCAAAAACCCCTCCCCCCTTGCGACCGGGCCTAATACATGCATAAATGTGTGTAAAACAGCAGCATCATAAAATCATCATAATCTTTAAAATCCATCATGGAAAACACGTCGTAGAAGACTTCTAAAATTACACCGTTTTTCGTTTTCAATTTCAGTTGATCCGGAAAATCAGGAAGAAAGCGTTGGTGAAATATCAGTACAAATTGATCTTTTCTCGCATCCCGGAACCGGCGAACATAAAGTTAACATTAAAGGTAAATAGCGCCTATATTTGTGGTACCTAAAATTACTAAAATTCATATTGCTCAGTGGTAAATCTTAAAAACCAGGGCGGTTACTATGTAATTCGATTCGAAAGAATTTTCGTCCGAACGCGGATTTTCCATACTACCTATTTCGAAATCGAATGGTAATATTCCATTTTCCGATTTCCATATGCGGTTTACCAATATGCGCCCTTACGTAATCCGAATTTAATTGCCAAAATTATTCGAAAATCCAAAAAGTGATTCGAAGGCGTTGGAGCTAACGGATAACTTGTACTGTTTACTTAATTGCTGCAAGAGTGTCATAATCCAAAAAATGTAAAAATGGAGAAAAACGGCTTTACAGTTTACCGTCTGCATGCGCTCCTATAGTAAAAATTAAGACACATTTTCTTCAAACGAGCTATTGTTAATCGATACAGCTATGGAATTTTTATACAACATGGAAGAAGAGGTGGCGGTAATTTCTGCATCCCACGTAACTAAAAAAAAATCTATTTGGATTATGATGCTTTTGCAGCAAATGAGCGATATTCATCTGTTAGTTCCTCGATACTACTTCAGTGCCTCTAAATGTCTCCGAAACAAATATGTACGTGTATATTGTTTCTTTCTTTTATATGGCTGTCTACTATGATCCGCATGACCTTGTAGCGCGAGCTCAGCAAGTCCCAAGCCTCACTGTAGTTGCTGTCACTCACTCCTAAATTGCTTACCAACTCCGGTGCTTCGCCTTTTAAACAATTGCGGGGATACTGTAGCTTCTGTCCGTCCATCAGACTTGCATTGGCATTGACGAGATAACAAAAGGCGTCATGAAAGGCGAGCCATTCGGTGGGATCGCCACTAAATGACGGTAGCTGCAGCTTCGAAAGCGGCACAGGCGCTGGCGTAGTTTGAGCGGAGCCGCAAGGCGTTTGAAATTCGCCTTGGCGATAGTATACTACTCCTCACCGTGATTTCGAGATTGCTCCTCCATCTCGACGCTTTCTTCGCCGCACGGGAGCTCTACCTCTTGTTGGGCTTCACAAAATCGTACCCATTGTTCCTCCAACAACTGCAAGTACGTAGATACAACCTCTACGTCGATCGAAAGCTCTTCAAATTTGTTCGTTTTCAAAAAGCGTTTTATGGCTATTAAAGCGGAATCGCAAACTTTAAGCGACGACATTTTGCGGGTGCGGTAATATTTTATTATATTGAAATAACGCGGTATGGACTGTATATAACGAAAGTATCGCGGAATCCGGTTTGAAGTACAACTTTGTGGCGTTTAAATAGCGTTTGCGGGTTTATAAGCGGGGAAACTAAGTGGATTACCTCGGATTAAAATGAAACGCGTCCAATTTGCTTAAATCCATTTAAAAGAAGGGAAGTAGAAAGGATGTCAAGTTTGACAGCTTACAAACAGTGCTGCCAAACCAAACATACGCTTAAGGTCTAATTGCAAGTAACGAATTAGGCGTGAACGGTAGCACTTGTTGGCAAGGGTGATTCTCGGTTGGATTTCAAGGCTGACATTATTATTGATGTTAATGCTGGTTCTCAAATAAACGAAGTTGTCTACTTTTTCAAACTTGTAACTGTCAACAGTGACGTATGCTCTGACTGTTTGTGTGATCACAGGAGATACTTCGTTTTGTCCTCTAATCCCGAGAAGGCAGAACAGATGTAGCCCTTGTTTTTGCCGATAATTTCGATTTCGTCGGCTTACTCCAGCAATTATACGCTCTTATAAAGTACTGTCCCTGAGCGGTTCAATTCTGCGGCTCTTGTTGTCTCCTCCAACAACAGATTAAAGAAATCACATGAAAGGGAGTCGCCTTGTCTGATATCTCGTTTGGTATCAAACGGCTCGGAGAGGTTCCCCCGTATTCTGGCAGATCTAATAGTATTGCCCAACGTCATTGTACACAACCGTTGTAGTGTCGGGGGGTTACCAAACTCAGACATCGCGGCATAAAGACAACTTATTTTCATGCTGTCGAAAGCGGCATTAAAATCGACAAATAGGTGGTGCGTGTCGATCGTATTCTCGCGGGTCTTTTCGAAGATTTGGCGTATTGTGAATACCTGATCTATGGTGGATTTGCCAGGTCTAAAGCCACACTGATAAGGTCCACTCAGTTCGTTGATGGCGGCCTTCACTCTTTCACACAATACACTCGATAAGACCTTGCTTAGAAGGTTGATCACGCGGTAGTTGGCGCGTATGGCGGGATCGCCTTTCTTGTGGATTGGGCAGAGCCCACTTAAATTCCAGTCGTCGGGCATGCGCTCATCTGACCATATTCTGTATAAGAGCTGATGCATGCACTTTATCAACTCCCCGCCGCCGAACTTGAATAGCTCGGACGGTTGGCCGTCGCCTCCAGCAGCTTTGTTGTTTTTCAGCCGCGTAATCGCTATTCGTACCTCGTCATAGTCAGGCGGTGGGACAGCTCCTTCACCGTCATCTACTGGGGGTTCGGGTTCGTCTTCTCCACTACTTTCAGTGCTGCTGCCATTCAACAGCATACGCCGGTTTGTTGAAGAGTGCTCTCAGGAGCCGATTGGCCAATAAATTGACCGTCTGTTGTGATTGCAGCTTTTCCGACGTGAAGCTTTCCTTGCATTGTTGGGCGCACATTTTTTGCTTCACAGAGGCGGGTGCGTATCATGGCTGCACCAAGGTAGTGGTCCGAGTCGATGTTTGGCCCTCGGAGTGAACGTACGTCTAAAATACTGGGAGCATGCCTTTCACCTATCACAAAATGGTCGACTTGATTTCTTATTTTTCGATCTGGAGACAGCCATGTAGCTTGGTGGATCTTGTTATGCTACACTAGCTAGTACTATATATTACCATGTTTTGGGCCCCGGCGAAGTCGATCAGCCTCAATCCCTTATCGGACGTTTCGTCGTGGAGGCTGGAGTTTCAGACAGTGGCGCCAAAGATCCCTTCCTTGCCCACCTTGGCACTGAAATCGCCAAGCACGATTTTTAGAAGAGATCCTTTGACGGCTCTTCCTTCTCTTCCGTCGGAGCATGAGCGAAATGTATAAAAATCTCGCTTTGATGCAGATTGGTGCTACACGTTCGTCCACTGAGGTGAACGCCAGTACTCGCCGACGGATTCTCTATTCTTTACGTGGCAACTATAGGAGACGTCGCAAAACTCCACGCTTACCTTGCTTTGCCCCGTCCCTCAGTGCTGTGTCTCCATATAAAAAGTGGGCAAAAATAGAATAATGGACGGATTTGAGTAAAAATTCGTTTCTTGGTGGATTAGAGTACGGAGATTTCAAAAAATTTTTTTCCCTAGCTCTTACATTTTTCATGGAAACTGAGATTGAAACTGCAAAATTTGATATTCAGAAGTAGTTCCAATACTGAGTAGTTATTTTATTATTTATACAGGGCGTTTTCCTAATAATATTAAAGACTTCAAGGCTTCATTCTATGGCTTAATTCATGGCAAATAAGATTCCCTATATCTCTCTTACGCAAACCCTCTAGGAATGGCAGCTACTTTCATTTTGGTCCTTTTTGACCACAAAATGTTTTTTTAAATTGATTATATCTTTTGGTGTGGATGTCACAAGCTTAAAAAATTTGATTCATTCAAGACGACATTAAATACTCAAAAGACAAATATAATTTTGTTTTCCTTTTTATTAGTTACTTCGCACGAACAAGAGTTGTTGCAAAATACTGAATCAAAAATTATTTGTTTTATCTAACGCCGTTTATTGAAAAATTAAAGTCATCATGCAGTCATATTCCAAACTACTCAGCAAACACACTAGTTCATTGACTATATATTTTGTGGTGTATTCATACATGAATTGTGGTGTATTCATACATGAATTCATTCATGAATTTCGGGTTGAAATCATACTAGTCAGAAAAAGTGTAATCTATACTAGAAATCATACTAATCAGAAAAATCCCATCCCATAGTATAGTATAGTAGTATATTCAACAAATGCTCTACCCTTCGATTTTTTGTTCTCCGTGAAGCTTCGCAAAATTCTTCTTTAGAAGGTCTTCCCCGTTCAACACATTTATCCTTATTTCCATTGGAATCCGGAAGGGAAAGGAATGTCCAATTTAGCCATTTAGAATATGTTTTTTCAAAAGCGCTTCTTTTGCGGCCACTATAATTCCACATTATTTTTCATCTCACTATTAAAAAGTTTTATTTTTTGATTCAAAAAGCTTTGTCGCATTTAGCGTGTATTAATTTGTCTTCAAAAAATGCAGATAATGCAGAAACTCTATCTGATGGACGAGTAGAAATCCAGATATCAGCTAAAATTGAGTTTTTTATAATTGAATTCATATTAATATTAGTTTTTTCACTATTTTACGCTTCACTACACAGCACAGAACACTACCGCGTGTGTCTACAGTAATAAACTTTACTATTTTTAAAGAATGTTTTGGCATTTAAGTAATGGAAAATACTGTGGTAACTGTAATCAGTGAAATTTTTTTTTTGCAAAAGTTTATTTTATAACCTTAAAAAAAACGATTTTCTTCGAAAAGCGCAATGAGTCTGCAGACTTTTTTTTTATTTCAAAGAAAAATGCCCCTTCTTTCAAATAAAAGAATAAAAAAACATACTTTCACATATTTTTTTTATCCCTTTGTAAACTTAGAAATTTTTTAAATTTTCTGCAACAAATTTTAGGGTGTAGCAAATAGGCCATTCCAGCCAGGAAACTCAATATTTTTTAAAAAGCTCTATAGAGTGGTTTCCTTACAGATTTTCTAATTAGAAAAATTGTGTCTTAAGATAAAGTATGATAAATTGTATTTTTAGCAATTTTTTTTTAAAGACTCCAGCTAAAGGCATTTTCATAAAAGAAAAAATATATAAAAAACACACAACTTTAAGAGGTTTTTGTGAGAACCTTATGAGATAAAAACAAAAACTAAGTCCAGATCCTTAATCTAGGATAAATTTCCTTTCCAACGATACCAAACACGTTGACATACGTGAC